TGACTCGCCACCGCCTCGCCATGCTGGCGAGTTGCTCATCGCTGCCTTGCCTCGCCTCGCCTTTTTCAGACTCCGACTCGCCCCGCCTCGCCTCGCCTCGCCTCGCCTAGAGTTTATAACAAAATGGTTATTTTTAGGCAGTTTCTTAACCACCCATAACAATCACTATCTTTTTAGTTTATAGAATCAAATAAAGAACATTTTAGACTTTTAAATAAGTTCAAAAAGACAAAGATATAAATGAGAATCAAATAAATAACAATCATTTTTTTTTACTGCATATAAACAATGCATTGTGAACTACATCAGTGCAGTAGTTGGACTAGACTGAATAATTGAACATATGTGTATATAGAGTGTGCCAAAAGTCACCTAACAAAAAGAAAACAGCTCATCTGAACAGGATTATGATCAAATGAACTGATTTTTGCCTAATGGTAGAGGATATTTCCAAGTTTTTATTCATCAATAAACGGTTTGATAGCATCACTTAGAATTATTATTATCATTCATTTAAAAGAGGAAAAGTCACATTTCTGCCAAAGATAAACTAGAGATTTTGGGTTTGTGTAATCTGATACGAATTTCTGTTCTTAGATTTTCAAAATTGTGTAATGTTTTATTTGAATTCTTTCGGTTTTCTCTATTCTGTCTAACTTCACAAAATTCTCTCAAATCTTTTTGCACTGAAAAGATCTGAAAACACTAGTGAGTACAGTTAAAGTTTGATAAAGTACTCCTATGGATAGTGAACAAAAACGCAAAGGCATTCGAGAACTTATTGACAAATGATACAAGTAATTTTTAGAGCTCTTTGTTCATCGTTTTGGTTGAAAAATGTTCTATGCTCATCAAGAAAAGATGTTTCTCGAGTCAAAATACTGGAAAACGGCAAATAGTACTGGTCGAAGTAATACGACATTTTCTAGTATTTTGACTCTGATACCGTCATTTCTTGATGAAAATACAGCATTTTTTTCCAAAATGATCATCATAACAAGCTCTACAAAATGGAATTTGTGAATAAGCTTTAGGATACAATTCTATTTTTTGTGATTGACTACTGCTAGAAGTGTGTGGAAAAAAGGCCAAATTCCGTACTGAAGTAGACGATGCTAGATTTCACGTGTGTTCATGAACTGCTGCTGGATAAATAAAAATTTAAAAGTATCCTCTACCATCTAGAAAAAGATCAGCTCGTTTGGTCATAACTCTGTGGAGATATACGGTTTTCTTTTTGTTAGCTGACTTTTGAGGCACCCTGTATACTAATTTATCGTCTTAATTCGATAAACTTCACTACAAATGGAAACGCTTAGAAACAATTACAATAAAATCGAAAGATTTCCTTAAAAATTTGCCATTTATTCATCAAAAATAGCATTCTAAGTATAGACGAGTCGACTCGGCGAGTTACAAAATCAACTCGTACTCGCCGCGGTGCAGAAAATGCCGCCTCGCCTCGCCTCGCCACGAGGCGAGGCGAGGCGAGGCGAGTAAACTCGGCGAGTCTCGGATCTCTGTTACAAAGGTTCGGCCTCTAAACGAACAATATATCAGATTGAAACTTACGTCTCTCAAAAGTAACGGTTGTAAAAATACATTAACCATTTCTTGTCATTTGCATTCTTATATAAAAATCTATATAAATTTTAATATCTCAGAATAAAAACGGTGTCCTTCAGGAATGAAAATGCGCTTGAAAAAGTTTGGTATAATATCGCGAGTTATTTACATGTATGTGTTTCTAACGAAAATATAAACATACATATATATGATATATTAATAAAAATAATTTTTTGATACATCTTCACCGTTCAAGAGCCAACATTTTTTGTGAATCGTTAAACTTATATAAATTTTGTAACAGAAAATCTCAGGATCACTAAGTAAACTTAATTCTGTTGATGTCCAGATCTGTACAAACGAAATCGTACTAAAAAACCAGCATTTATTCACAACTGTATGAAGTCGAGTTCACATCAGCATGACTGTTTGATTAGATTAACTACTTTCCTGTCACATGCTACTATTTTATTTTTGATCGTTAATATGAAACTACGTATAAGTCATCTATAGTTCTAATTAGCTCTTGATTTTTGCTCAAGCATGCCGTTTTTGCTATGTTAGAACGCCTTTTTAAAACAAAAATAATATCCTCCTTTTTTCCTCCTTTTTCGAACAATATCCTCCAAAAAAGTTATTCCAGAATCCTCCGCTTTCCTCCTTCTTCTCAAGCGGCCGTTCACATGCCAGAGCAAGCTGAAATAGAAAAGACAATCATCAGAGATATTTTTCATCACATGAAGGGCTTATTTCATATAAACGAAAAAAGATAGCCAAAATATCACGAATAATGTATGTTCACATATACAACGCTCAGTGAAAAGAAAACATAATAGAGAAATGTAGAAAAGAGAGAAACGATGATAACAACAAATAGTAACATTTATATTAGACTATTCGTTTTTGTTTTTGGTAAACAAAATATAAAAAAGGAATACCCTCTGTTTTTAATATGATGAAAAGCACTATTTTTGTCTGCGTTAAAATTAATCAACCATAGTTGTCGTCTTGTCTCTTTTATTCATATTAATAATTTACTACATCCAGGCCAGCAACTTCGGCCTGGCCTGGACGGCAGGCCAGGCCAAACATGGGATGGCCTGATCAGGCCAGAACAAATTTCAAAAATTCAGACTGGCCTGGTGGACGGCCTGATGGCCTGCCAGGCGCCTGCCAGGAACCAGGCCAGGCTGGCAGCTCTGATAGCTAATAAGATATAAGATTCATCTTTAATCAAACTCCGTTTTTCCATTAAAAAAATGCCACCTCGTAGAATCTGTTTACATAATTAAGAAAAAGAAAAGTATTAATCATACAAGGAAAGATTCAAAAATTTATAATGAAGATTAAAATAAAGAATGTTCCAATAACAAAAAAAAAAACTAATCTTTTGAAATATTTTCCTTAAAATTGATTAAATGAAAATAAATTTATATGAAGAGATGTTTTCAGATAAAATTTAATCAAGAAGAAAATCCTTTTTTTACATTAATATAAAAAAAAATACTAACAATAAATTTGATTAATTTGAAAAATAAATCAAATAAAGAAAATAATTATTTAAAATTTCATTGAACAAAAAATCGACAAGTATTAGTAAAAAGAAAATCGATCAAAATCAAAATAGATTAAACTAGCTTGACGTATTTGATAAACATTTTCAATAGAATTACAATGTTCTCCTATTTGGCATGACAATTGAACACGATCGATTACTTGTGATCGATTATTAACAATAAAAATCGCATTACGTTTTATTGAATTAAATTCTGGAGTTATTCTTGGACATGTTGCACATATTTCATTTACTGATGAATAAAAAAAATTCATTGAAATTTGACATCGTCGACAATTGGAATAATCAATTGGTAAACAATCATTCGAAGATCGATTAAAATAACATTCATTTATTGACTGATTATTAAATGACTGATTTGTTGCAATTAAGAAATTAAAACGACCAGAAAAATTTTCTTCTATATGAATCGATTTTAAAATTCGTTTTAAATTTATTCCATTATTACATCCATCAAATGATTTACATATGTATTGAACATCATGTGATAATCTTTTATTTAATTCATCACCTTCTAATTGATATTGAACACTTGCTAATATTGAATCACTTGAAGATATATTTTCATTTGATATTGAATCATAACCAAATATAATCATACTACTTATAGGATTTCTTAACCATATTATTGTAAATGTACATTCACCAGATGTATCAACTAATGAACAATTATCAAATGATGGAAGAGTATCAGCTGTTACACTGTAATTTAAGACAAAAGGGATAACACTTATGTAACATTGTAATGAAAAAACAAAACATGGTGATGAAAACAGTAACAAAACAAATAGTAGGAATTTATGTATCATACTTTAATAGTGTTTATGTTTCTTTATCTTTTACATAATATTTTTTCAGATAAAACAATAAGAAAGAAGAAATTTATCTATGATAAACTTTGTTAACATATATTTTTATTAGATAAATCGCCTAAAACCAAAAGAAAAAAAAGCGAAATTTCAGTACTTCCAAGTACAATCGAAGTATTAGTGAAATACAAATGAAGTATCGTATTTCAGTATTCTCAAGTGTCACTTTTTCCTCCTGGCATCAAGCATTCAAATAAAAAACTAACGAAATTTATTATTCGAAGTTTCTTTTGCAAATTATGCACAAATATCATAATAAGCGTCTCGTTTATAATATTGATTAAGATAATGAATTATAATACTAGAATAATATCAAATCAAAGTTCAATATTCTTTGATGCTTATTACATTTGCTTCATATAGCACAAGTTCCAATTTCAGAAATCGACTGAACTATATTTTATTTCATTGAAAACATTAATTTTTCAATTTTTTTTACAATTATATTTATCAGAGTTTAATTCAAAACAATTCGATTATATAAGAAGTTTCTTTTTTTTCATAATGAAATATTACTATTTTAATTCATTAAAGAAATAATGATTTATTAGACGCCAGACAAGCTCTACGACGTATCCAAAATATTAGAAATACAGAAAATGTCATATGTTGACAATAGGAACATGGTTAGAATCCACTGGGCCACTGTTGCCTTTATTTCTCAAATCTTCAAATTGCTTCATATCAAACATTTAATGGCTTTTTTTATGTTTAAGAATGGTAGTATGAGACTCTTTCACTGTAAATATCAACGGAATATCTTGAAAAAAAGATGTTTTTTTTTAAAGCTACAATGCAAAATATAATGGTTGGAGTGCCTTATTGAAAATAATATTTCATAAATTAAGATATACGTTTCATTTTTTAAGTAAATCTAGCATCGTTTTATCGATAGTAAAAAAGAAATTCGTTTATTTTTGAGAAATTTTAATATCGGAAAAGAAGAACATAAGTTTGAATGAGGCTATAGGTTCCGGCTCTCTCTAGACCCATAGACATACCCATATTTGAATATCCCGCAGAACAGATTGTATCTCGAATTTCTTGATGTGTGACACCACTGCAGTTGTTTAGAATTTATGAGTAAACAAAGCATGGTGATCTCAATTTCGTTTGAAACGCTAAGCTTGATCTATTACCTAAATTTCAACTCAATCTTGAGTTCTTAGAATTGTTTCATTTGTAGGAGTTATTTGAGCTCTCTGATTATCTTGAATTCTATGAGTTCCTTGAGTTTTGAAGACTCGATGACTAAAGTTATACTTCTGAAAGTTCAGAATTTATGTAGTCCTGACACATCTTATTATACAACAATAACGGACAATATCATAGTTACGTTTTCATACTGACATGTGGCATCACGAAGAAATCAATCATAAAAATAATCTATTGACATTATATTTATTATATATATTTTTTCTTCAAATTCATTATCATCGAATTGATAAGAGTTCATTTATTTGTTGTTGACTTACTTAATTTTGATAATTTTGTTTCCAAAAACTGTCTAAAAATGAACTGCAATGTAAACTACAAATGGTTTAATGAGATACATTTTTTTAGATCGAATATGTTTACCACATGATATTAAGCTGTACGTGATTTTTTTGTTTATGAACCAGTTGATTCTTGTTCATTAAGCTGAACACAGTAACTATGAACTGTCTTCATGAGACATGAACAAATAACATGCAAGCATTCATATCTTTAAAAATATATGTATGTATCGACTTCACGTAACATTTGCTTAAAAGAGCAGATAAGAATTTCGACTGGCCAATCAAGAAAATAACAGTCTATAAAGAATAGATTGAAGAATTTTACTTTGCAATCTAGATAAATAAATACGACAAGTATTCGTAATAAGTTTAAGTTTTATTAATCGGATTAAATTTAAAAATGAAAACTCGATTAGAGGAAATTCTTATATTCCATATTTCAATATCTTTTATTGTACTCACGCTTCGAATTCTACAATGATAAATATCCAATAAAATAATGAAAAATGAAAAAAAAAACGTAATCTATGATTGATGAATTATGTTGTTCTATTAATGAAGACATAAGAAAACACATTTATTGATATTATCAACAATGTACGCCACTATACTGATCATTTATTTCGCCAATGTCAGTATTTTATTATATATATCTACCTTATCGGACTATACTAGTATATGATTATTAATAAGATAGATATTTTTACATTGTCAAAATAAAAAAAAACCATAGTTGAAAATAATTTTTCTTTTTTTCTGCATGCATATAAAGAATAATGATTGAGATTATTTGTAAAGGATGCACAAGTAAAATGCCGTTTTTTTAAAATTCTATTCACCCTCGTTAATTCTATTTGCTTGAGCTATTTTCTCGTGAATAAATGAATGGGTGAGGAATCTTCTATTTGTTCATTAGATACGTTATCTGAATAAACCATGGTTTATATATTTTATTGATTTATAAGTTATCGACCGTAGACCATTTCGACACGATGGTCTTTGAAAAAAAAATGTTAGTCAATTTAAATTTCACTTGAAAAAATTATAGAAAAATGGATGAATAATAACATCAAAAATATTTCTAGTGTGGTATCTGAATATCTCGAATTATGTTTAACTTATGTGCTCGAATGCTGTTTTGGTCTACTTTATGGTAATGTATCTTTTTTATCCGATCTGTATGTTCCTTATGAATGTTGCCATAGATCCTAAAAAATAATCCATATTTCTATATGCTCTTTGAAAAAATAAGTAAGTAATCATGCGAGCGATATCGGTCTTCATCAATATTAAGAAATGATTAGCAAGAACAAGATGTCCAGTAGTTACACTTAGAATCCTTTTTTATTGCAATTTATTTCTCGTGACGATTGTCTCTAAATAGAAAATAAAATCATCTTCTTCATCAAATAATGCCAATAGAAATATACTAATAAATATTTTAGTAAGTTTTTATCTGTTAAATAGATTAATTCTTATTATTAAATCCTAAAAGAAGTCGTTTACATATGAAAATTTCTTCTATTATTTTTATTTTGATATTGAATATTATTCTTGGAATTTATTTACTCATGCTTAATATTTGAATAAATGAAACTCTACCAACGAAAATAGATCCATTAGTATCAAAATAAATCAAATAGAAATCTATTTCTTTCTTTTGGTTTATATTAAAACTAAGTTTACCGCAAGAATAAAATAATAGCTTTTAGGAAAATTCCATATGATTATTATTCTCAAATTATTTATACAATAATTCAAGATGTATATTAACCACTTCATATGTTCACTACCACTGAAACGTTTTATTTCATTGAAAATATAATACAAACATTCCTAGTTTGTTTGAAAAATTAAAATCGTCTCGCATATTTTTATACACTAATGAGAAAAAAAATGAAACTTTAATTCAAAATATAACAATTGACTTCCAAAGTTCGAAGGATTCAAACAAACGCATGTCCACAAATCTTTTTTTATCAATGTCTCATTGAAAAACGACTTATTCAAAACATAATAAATAGCAAAAACTTTTTACTTTGTTCGTCTTAATTAATTTTAATACATTATAAAAACAAACTATGTAGTATAATTAAGACAAATTAGTATCTCGAAAAGAGAATTTTTGAAATAAATTATTCGATAGCAGCTAACTTTAAAATTAGGTCTTTAAATTTAAGGGAGAGTATAATCAACCGATGCTTTCAATTTGTTCCTTTCAAAAAAATTTCATCTTAATAGAAAATTTTTATGAAAACATTTGTTCATTAGTTATATTTTGAGAAAGTTTTTTCTTTCTTCGAAAATTATAACAGAGAAAAGAAAACATTCTAATGTTCTTTGTTGATAGATTATGTATTCTTTTGTCGGATAAAACAATTTTCTATTATATCAACAAAATCTTTCTTTGATTTCATATTTCTTTTATATCATCATAAATGTTTCAGTTGAAAAAAAAGGAATTTCTCTCTTATAACGTTTCATATTGATAAAAAGTTGCACAAATGTTTTCATTTGCAGGGTGAATAACTTGAAAAGGAAGATTCTATTCTATGAACAAAAAGAAGCTATTGAAAAGTAAAATTTCAGATTGAAATTCTTCACTTAAATGTCGCAAAATTTTTCACATATTTTTTTATAT